AATATGTTCTAATACCACTTTAACTGTCATGCCTCAATGCTATGGAATCCTGGGATTAGTAGTTTGTTGTGTCACCAGAGCTCTCTGATAGCAAAGGATAAATATCTCACAAAACTACAAATCCCAGGATTCCATAGCATTGAGACATGACAGTTAAAGTGGTATTAGAACATATTATTTCTTCAGTGTAGATGCAGCCTTGGTGGTACAGTTCTGCCAGATAATTTTGGGGTAAGGGAGTTCGCCTCTCACCCCTCCACTCCAGCCTAGTCCTGGGATCCATAAATTTCTGGGGAACATAATGACATAAATGGAAGGACACTATTAGATACAACCAGGGTTTATAATACTATGTTATTGAGATTTTTGTAAGATAATCATGACTGGAACTGAATAGTTTTGAAGCATGGCTGCAGTTTTATGTATCTGTTGTTATGTGATTCAGTATACAAAATACAGCCTTCTGAAAGTGAACTAAGACTGAATAGATTTTAAGTAAATATTGGTGAGGCATGATGCATCCAAAAAAGAGCTTTTTTAATGAGAAAGTTAATGTTTAAATGTTTAAAGACTTTCCAATGAAATAAATGATGCTTCAAATGCTTCACTTATTTGACATTATATAAAAAAAATCTGGTCCATAAAGTGTTTTTGTCTATTGCTTTGAAAATTTCTTTCCATCAAATCTACTAGTGATGATACCACTACACCACTGGAGATACTCACCTTATGAAAAAGGTGGCTCATTTTGAGTAAGGCAGAGAACTGTTCTTGCAGCCCCCTTAATCTGGAGTTTTATTTCTGAAAAATATACATTTCAGGCTTCCTGTTACATATCCTTAGGCTAGTCTCACTGTACAAGCAAGCTCAACTAACATGATTATTAAATGTGGATTTTTAATTAAGAGGCATTTGCACTATAAAAGAAGCTTTCATCTTCATAGAAAAGAATGTTTAAAATGTCTGAATCTCTTCTATTTGCAATTTTTGTACCCATTTTTATTATTTTTGTGATTTTTTTTTAAAAAATGCAGTGCATCTTGGTAACAAATACAACTCAAAAGATAATAGAAACTTATTACCTAATGTTATATATAAGCTAGTTAGTGCATGACCTAATTAGCAAGATAGCTAGCTAGATAGACAGACACACAGATAGAATAAAGTGAGGAGTTCTAACAGCTAACAGCCAAATCTTGTTTACATGGGTTTGATTCTTTCAGTTGTTTCAGGGTGAAAAGTCAAAAATTAGTACAAAATTCTTTGAGCCTCTCCCACAAAGGGGTGTATTTTCAACAATACACTGAGAGAGAGAGAGCTCCTTAATGCCTATTGATGCTAATTTAATGTGTCGGTTTGAAATGTACCCATAATATACTTACAAACACACATTTTTTTTCTTTCTTTCATTAAAATGGCTAAAAGGTTTTTGTTTTGGGTTGTTGTTGCTTTTTCGGTCCTGCCACTTATTCCAGCATGCTCTCTTTGGAGGGTTTCATAAGATCTATGCTTAGACACATTTTAACACCTGAAGAAGAAGAAGAAATCCAATTATGTTCTTTAGCAGAAATCTGAAAGCAGGTCTGAAACAACAGCTTTTATTTCTTCCATACAGGAAAATTCTTGTCTTTATGCCAAAATATGAACAGGGGCTTTGTGAAGAAAAATTGAAAAAAATTATTGTCTTCTAAGAGATAACATGATTCAGGAGTCCTGGGGGCCTTATCAAACAACACTTTCCTGTCACCAATAACAATAACAACAACAACAACAATAAACTATAAGAAGAGCAGCAGCAGCAGCAACAAATTAACACTGCTACCACAATAGGAAACAGCTCTAGGAACATGAGGTTATGAAGGATACCTCTCTGGGCCCAGTGAGCAGACCAGCTTTGGGCAGCTTTGACCCCTATCACGATCCTGCACCCTGCATGCAAATTTAAGGTGTCCCAATATGGACTGGACCTCCTTAAGGGTGTCCTTGTATGACAAGAGACTGTACTGAATTTTTTAGAGTGGGGCCTGAAGCTGAATCCCAAGGTAAATTAGGGACGTGGCTGGGTCCTCAGACTTTATTGGCCACTAACAGGACACTGAACTCAGCAGCCAGACTCTGGAAGGTGGACAAGAGTTTTGACCCAAGCATCACTTCCAGCCTCACCCATGAACAGGAAGTCATCAAGGTAATGGGTAACCAAGGGGGAGGTGGCCGTGCACTTGACCTCCCATTCCAGGAAGAATCTGAAAGTCTCAAATGCTGCACAGCTGACTGAGTAATCCATTGATATGGCCTTATTGAAATACCACTGGCCCTCAGACTTGAAAGGGTGGCTGCCTCCTTGAAGAGGTAACTGCATAAAAAGGGGATCAAGGCTGCAAGGTGTGCGGGTGTTGGGGCAAGGTCAAAAGGCAGCCTCAGCATGCTCATTTTGTAACCCCCACCCACACTCTAGCCTCAGAGCTGGAGGCTGCATCCTTCTTGCTGGAGGCTGCTGGACTGGGATGTCCTGATTGGAAGGGCTGCTGGGAGTCCTCAGGTTGGGAACAAGCATGGGATGCAGGCCCACACAAATCTCACAGCAGCGGTCAACTTGCCTGTGTTGAACTCCCAGCAAATGAATCTGCAGGGGTCCTTCTTGCCAGCCCACTTGGAGGACTCTGGGCCTCGCATGTGGGCCTACGTCGAGCAACCAGATGTCGCTCTCAATGCGGTCCAACCTTTCAGAGTTAGTTTGGGAAGCACGCTGATGGAAGGACATATCATGGCTATGGCTGCAGCCTCCCCCTCTTTCCCCCATGGACCTGGCTCTCAAGATATTGAGCATGTGGTTGATCAGGTGTCAGGCCCACTCAGGATAGACCATGGCAACAATCCCCATGAAAACTCCGTAGCCATCCATCCAGCTGACAAAGGAGTGTTCTCCCTGGTGTGACTTAGCTTCCTTTTTGCTTTTTTTTTTTTTGGTGGAGGTAACTGTCCCAGCCTCCTTCCCCTTGGGCCTTAGCAAAGTGAAAACATCTACATAACACCCTCTGAGAATCTGCTTTCTAATTTTTTGGACAGGTGGAGGCCCAGGGGATTCTCACCACATGAAAACTTAGGAAAGTCAGATGCCTGTTGGTCCACCCATACACCTTGTAGGCCCACGCAATTGGACCTGCACCTGATGGTCCATGAAGGTACACCC